TTTGTCCGAATCAGACTGAAAACTTGACAATTTACCATCTACCGGGCATCGTGTTACTCGTCTGTATCCTTTTATTGATAAACTACGGCATATGATCAAGGTGTTTGAGATAAAAACTGCGATTTTCGGAACGAAAAATACTCGACAGGAATCCTTTCCCCGTCCGCCATTTTGTCAGGGCGCCTGCGATAAATTCAGCGGTAAACCATATTGCGCACTCTCAGTTGAGATTTAAATTAGCCAATCAGCGGTTTTTTAGCCGTGTCTTTACCGGCAAAATCAAGCTCCAAGTAGAATAAGACACGTACTCCAAGGTTTTCAAAAACAAAAACTATCAACAAAATCAAATCGAAAAGCTTTCTTTCAGTTTACTAAAGCTTCTCTCTAACAGTGAGCTCTCAAGATCTTCGCTAATTTGAGAGAAATCAAAAATTTTTAGATGGTTATGACAAGATCAACCCGAGCGAGGAAGGCAGTTGAAGCACGTTTTGAGAACGACAGCTTAAACAACATACCACCCTCGTCAGGAACTAAAGTTAATGTTAATGGAAAGTCTTCAGACGTTGAGCAAATGGCTATCAACATACCTAGCTCTGATCGCACCAGCATTGCCATTCTACTATTCTTGTACGTCTTACAAGGAATCCCCCTTGGCCTAGCAGGGTCTATACCTCTGATTCTGGCCAAGAAAGTAGGCTATAAACAGCAAGCTATGTTCAGCTTTGTGTACTGGCCTTACAGTGTAAAGCTGCTATGGGCTCCAATAGTAGATGCTGCTTATATTTCAAAGATTGGTCGGAGGAAGACTTGGCTTGTACCTGTTCAATATTTGATTGGGATCTTCATGTTGGTGTTGTCAAAGGTATCCCATCTTATTAATCATGCATCCTTCAAACTCATTTCTGTCTCTTTAATTTAGGTTATAGAAGCATTGATTTTTTTGGTGTGTTTGGGAAGCTAATGAAAGAGTGAAATTGGAATATATATATATATATATATAACGAAAATATAACGAACAATGAAACTTAGTCCCATGTGGTTTGAATTGGGTGGAAACGTTTATAGCAACACGTTAGCCGATTAGGTCTATACTTTGTATGAGTATAATTTTATTAAGTGTGCCTGGGAAGGGACTTATAGCTTGAAAATCGCAATTGTGTCTTAAAGATCAATGTTCAAATTCACCTTTTCGGTGCTAGCTTGGATTGCGTTATGGTCACCAAAAGGTTCGGACATCGTTCTAGGACTTCCATACAAATTCACTGACTTTAAAGAGAAAATTCAGGTAGATTTCTTTAGTTAGCTATCTTAACAGCAGTAAGAAAAGCTTTAATGAAGCTAGAAAAATGATCAATTTACTTGTATTTAGACTAACTAAACATAAACCAAGTAAATAGTTCATTTATAGTCAGWACATTTGTACAGAAATTCGAGAACAATGTCCGAACTTTTTGGTGACCTTAACACAACCTAAAACAATTTATACCCCATGATGGCTAGGGCAAAAAAGGTGGATTGTATTATGTGTTCAGCTACATCAAGATGACACTCAAATCATGCATATTGATTAGGACAGCTTGGTTTCATTTTTTTGTGTGTTTTACACCAAAAGGAATTAGAAAAAATATGTCAGAAAATTCATTAGGGGATCTAGGACATCCATGTTAATATAATATAATATAATATAATATGATTTATATAGCGCCTATACAAGTCGGCTCTAAGCGCTGTAAAATATATATAAATTATAATTCAAAAGCTAGTTTAAACAAATGAGACTTAAGGTCTTTCTTAAAAGTTTTTAGACATGAAGTGTTTCTAAGAGGAGACGGTAGTGAATTCC